AGAGTCTGATCCTCAGAGCCTATGGTTTGGACGGTCAACAACGCTTGGGCCCACAGGGGCTTGGCCTCCTGACCGAGTCTGTGCTGTCTGCATCTGAGTCCTCCTTTTTTATTGATTGTTTAAGGGACGCTGCCTGTCTTAGGTGGTCAGTGCGAATTCCTCAGTCTTACCAGTCATTGAGACTCATTGCAACATGGCAGTATACTAACGGTTTTTAATGTATCCACTTTCTGAGTTACAGTCACAATCAAACTTTTGAAGCAAAAGGCTCTACTAATCCTCACTTCTGTGTTCACAGAACTATACAAATCTGACTCGTACTACCTAACCCTGACACAATTTCTTGCCTCCTTCCCAAATAAGAGTAGAATAGAGACAGTACACCATGGAGTCTGCTCTGCTAAGGCAGAAAAACGACATCTATGGAAAATGCCTAACCAGTGTTTCACGCTGCTTGTTTCAATATATACAATGTGTGAGAATCTCAGACAGTAGTAATTCTTAACAGAATATAATTTTTAGCAACATCTTTATGTTGCTACCAGTAGAGCAGTGGTTAAGCAATGGATTGCTAACCAGAGGACTTGCAGTTTGAACCCACCAGCTGCTCAGGGGGAAAATGATGTGGCAGCCTGCTTCTGTAAAGTTTACAGTCTTAGACAGCCTACGGAAAAGTTCCACTCTACCCTATTAAGGTCGCTATGAGTTGTACTGCCTTGACAGCATCAAGTTTCTAACTTTGAATACAATTTTTTTGCCCGAAATGTGTTAAGAGAGCAAGAACAAATTAATCCTATGTAGGCTTTCTTCTATCACTCACTCAAAATTCGGAAGCACTGAATTTTTCATTCTTTTCTCTTAAAACTTCTGCTTTAATATGCGTATTTTGCTTAAATGATACTAGCCCTAAGAATTAAAATGTTGAAGTATATGAAAAGGAACAAAATTCTCATAAGTTGCTTCACAAAGCTGTAAAGATAAAACCAGCCCTAGTATGAAATTAAAACAAACGTCTATTGGGAAAAGCCTAATGAATGTTACTGTTGTTCTATCTTTTTCATGGTACTTTTTGAAATAAATAGAACCATATTTAACTAAGCTATTAGTTGTTTGATTCTGGATTGTTCTGGTGAGCTTGAACCACTGACCCTGTGGTTCAAATGGCTTTACAGTCCAGCGCATTAACACACAGGGCCACACAGGGACTCCTTTGATTCTGGATGTTATCCTAAATCTAAAATTAAATTTTAGACCATTTGCTAATCTAAGTAAGGTGAGTCTGATTAATATCTGAAAGAAAAGAAAAATTCTTAAAAGAAAATAATACAAATTTGTAATTTTAATTAAACACAAACAAATAAGGGCAAAAAGTTCAATTAGGGCTTAGAATCAGTTCAAATCAGTTCAGTCATGGTCTATGAAAAGAAATCAGAATAGACCCCAATTAAAAAAATTTGGGTGATCCAGAACAGTAACTAGAATGGGAAAAATAACAGGCCTTTCAGTTTCCCTAGAATGGTAACTCGAAGAGGCATAGTGAGCCTTTTCAGTAGCCTGATGTGTGAAACTGGATTACTGGCAGGACTGTGGCAAGCAACACATACTCAAAGTGCCTAGGTCAGTAATGAGGCCAATGCTACTTGGACTCTGCTCAAAATTCAACAGGCAAGAGACTTGGTTGCTATGTAATGTGCACACTGCCCTTGTTTTCTAAGAGGGGGATTTTGTTTCTAGCAGGGCTTCAAACAGTAATTTTTTTCCCATTCTGGTTATAGTTATGGATCATACAAATTTTAGAAATTTAGATATGTTCCAGTTTTACTTCCTCAGCTATGGACTAAACCAGGAAGAACTGGCTCTAAGTCCTGGACTCAATGTACCAGACAAAATTCATCTTAAGTAAATATTTTTGGTAAAGAGCATATTTACTGTAATGTTATACTATATGTTATCGTTTGCCATCAAGTTGGTTCTGACTCACAGTGACCTGTATAAAGTTTACAGGAGTGGCTGGTAGGTTTGAATTGCTGACCTTGGAGCGGCCAGTCCAGTGTTTACCTACAGAGTCACACAAGGACCCTATGTTTAACGTATCAATATGTAACTATAGATACATAAATCTATAGACATTCAAATATAAAAATACTTGAAAACAATTTATCCATCTTAAAACCTTATCAATTTATAAAGAACTCTATTCATTCTCTGAAAGTCTGCAAAACAACGGCTTAAAATTTAATTAAGTCTGTTATGAATCATGCCAATATTAAAGGAGGGATTTTAACAACAGAAGGTTATCTGCTTTTGTTTTATATAATGGTAGCAGAATAAAGCTGCTCTAACATTTGAAAAAAACAGTCCTTACCAGAATTGAGAAAAACACTGGTTTCAAGACGAAAGTAAAAAAAAAACAAAAACAAAACAAAAACAATCAATCAATCAATCAATCAACAGCATCTGATACCTGAAAGGCCTGAATTCTTTATTTAATGATGACAAGGCAGTCAGATGAGGGCATTCGTCTTCATCTTCCTCAGAGCCAGCAGGGATTCCTCCCTGACCTATCTGATTGTCTTGTGTGGTGCCATTTTCAGTGCTACTTTTCTCTGTATAAAACTCAACTGCATAATTGCTTTCACCAATTTGGCCTTTTATTTCATCTAAAGCTTGACGGAATTCAGTCATTTCAAAATTGTGTGCATCAGCACTCTCCTCTGACAGAGCACCTGCCTGTATTTGTTCATTTGCAGATGATATACAACAGCAACTACTTGCTCCATCTATAGCATCTTCTTTACTTTCATTTTCGCATTGACAAGCCTCTGACATCTTTTCGTCAGAAAATGAGAATTCAGATCCTTCTTCTTTTTCAGTATCTGTATCATCTGGACCCACTGGATGAAGCAGTTCATCATCTGCCTGCATTTCCTTTGTGTAGCCACTGGCAGAAACTTCTACATCAAGAGAGTCCTCTCTCCTAGGAATGAAAGAAATCCAAGCATTGAAAGAGAGTGAGAGTTAGAGAGTTAGAGAGAAAGAGAGACGAGAAAGAGAGAGACAGTCAGAACTACCTGGCATGGATAAATATTTAAACTATAATCCTGACAGATTATTAGTTTAACGGTAATACACATTTTAAAGATTTCTGTTTGCCTAAAATATTTAAATTATGTAAGTATATAGATGTAAAAGACATGCTGGTTGTCAATTTAAGAATAAAACAACCATGAAAAAACCCCCACAGATTTTAATAATCAACTTTTGATTCTATTGATTCTAAAGATCTTTTTCATTTTAAAGTGTTTGAATCTCAATAAAAAGCATGAGCTTACTTAAGTATATAAAATAAATGAAATTAGGCTTTGAGAATATACAAAATATTTCTGTTCCATGAATCAATTACAATAGCTGCTATTTTGAATAGTGAAAAAATACAAAGTCTGGTACACAATTGGTTTGATTCCTTAAAAATTGGTTATTCACAAATACCTAGAATAAAAGTTGTTGAACTCATAAGAAACTAGCCATGTTCTTCATCAACCCATTAACATGGCTTTGATTTACTGCAGGCAGGTATTTTTGAGTTTTAATTAAGTTATGTACAAGATAGCAATGATACTCAACAATAACTATAATTATCAAAGATCACTTTTTAAAAGATTTTAGATGAATGTGTTAACTTTTAGAATGAAACAAATCAGTTATATTTAAACAGAGTTCTATCAATTTTAAGCAATGAAGAGTACAAACCTGATGTCACTAAAGGTTGGATAAAGCTCACTTTCATAACTGAAACGTTTTATGAAGAAATCTCTAATACATTTTACATCTCTGTCAAAATACCTGAAAAAGCAAGAATCATTTTTATTATAGCCTTTGTTAGTCTTTTTCCTTAATCCTCAATGATAACGTTATGATTTGCTATGATGCTTCTAATTCTTACGTGAAGGAGAAAAAGGAAAACAAATATATTAAACAATTGCTAATGGAGTCCTGGTGTGGCACTGTAGGATAATGCGCAGGACCACAAGGTCAGTTTGAGCTGCAAGGTTGGCAGTTCAAACTCACCAGCCACTCCTCAGAAGCCCTATACAAGGCCACTATCAGTCAGATAGCACATAACAAGGTGTGGAGTTGTAGGATCAGCACTGTACTGCAAATCACAAAGTTGGCAGTTCAAAACCACCAGCTGCTTCTTGGAAACTCTATACAGGGTTGTTATGAGTCAGAATAAATTTGATGGCACTTAACAACAACAAGGTTAGAGAACTCAAGGCTTTCTTATGAGGAAATGTACTAAGGGATTGATGAGATAAGAGACAATCCCAGGAAAAAAGAATAGAATCCTGCCCCACCCATCCTCTTTAGTTGCCAGTCTGTCTAGTCTTATTATGCTTCTCATAAGTTTCATTCAATAGAGTCCCTAGTCAACGGGGGAAGCTGACGATAAAAACAGATAAGGGATTCATAGAGAAAAGAAAACTGTTATGCTTATAATGATAAAGCTATATTATCCATTACTGATGTGTGTTAATACTCAAGAGAGATTACATAGCACTGTGGCTTACAATTAACAATGTGAAGTCAAATTAGTCTGAACATAGATAATCAGGTTGCTTTTTAGGTCACCATGAAGCAGCAAGAAATGATTCAATTTTGTAGAAGAGTCCCAGAAAAGGGAAAATTAAGGACAGGGTGACATAGAATGGCATATCTCTTTGAATTTTCTGATTCGTTTTGAGAAACAAGAAGCCTGTGCTTTGTTTTCAGGATAACCTGGAAAAAATCTCTTTAAAAATGACCCTTTTATATATGTTCACATCTCCTTACAAGACAATAACACTGGTACAATTCAACTACTTTACCCAGTACTTGTCCATAAAATTACAAATTAAATTATAATGTTACCTCATATTAACAATGTAGCCTAAACATGGCATATGTTAATAATCTTCATCAGTCTCTTCTTCAGTGCTGGTGGTTCCAAATGTTCCTTTATTGCACGACTATGCTTCTCCACATTAATAAAAATTAAAATACTGTGATTTTTATTAATCATACAAAGATATACTGACCACCCAAGTATCACGCATTAACCTAATAGTATTGTTTTGTTGAAAATATATTTAAATTAGTTTTTCAATGACCTTTCTCTAGCATAATGAAAACCAGACAGAAGACAAGATTCATTTAACACAAGCTGGTCTAGGGCTCAAACTTCCTAACAATGAATGTACTCTTTTAGGTAATACCAGTTGTTAGAATAGGAAACGGGAGAAGTTTTTCATAATTGGAACTGTTGTTGTTGTTAAGTGCGGTCAAGTCAGTTCTAACCCACAGCGACCCTGTATAGGATTTCTAAGGAGCACCTGGTGAGCTGAACCATCAACCTTGTAGTTCAAACCGACTTTGCAGTCCTGCACATTATTAACCCACAGCACCACACCAGGATTCCATAATTGGAAAACATTTATACTTAGTTTGATTGCATTCAACTGCACTACAGAAAATAAGCAAATGAAGTACAAGGTCAAGTTTCAACAACATGGCTAGTGTAAGTGGATAAGTAATGTAAATAATATGATTATCACAAATTATAAAGTGATTCTATTCTATGCCAGAGATTAGGCTTTACATGAATAAATAATAAAAGCTAAAAATTACATGAGAAATATAATCAATGGTTTGACAACCAAGTCTGATCTAAAACTGAGTAATGATTCCAATACACATAAATACTAGAAAGCTGTTACACCCGTGTCTGACTAACTATCCAAGCATTCAGCTGTGTAGATCATAACAAATTATGGATAACATTACAAAGAATGGAAATTCCAGAACACTTATTTGTACTCACATGGAATTACACACAGAGCCAGAGGCAGTCATTTGAATAGAACAAGGGGAACACTGGGTAGTTTAAAATCAGGAAGGGTCTGTGTCAGGGTTGTATCCTTTTGCTAGACTTATTCAATCTGTATAATGAGGCTTTTCAAAAGTTTGTGAAAAATGAAATAAAACATAACAAAATTTTCCATGAACTTTTTGAAGATCCCTTATATACTGAGCAAATAATCTGAGAAGATGGACTTTGTGACTAACAATGCAAAATCAAGATTAGAGGAAGACTCATTAACAATCTGTGATATGTAGATGACATAACTTTACTTGATGAAAATCAAGAAGCCTTTGGGAAACATTACTGATGAAGAGAAAATACTACAGCCCTCCGTTTGGATTATACCTCAACATAAAGAAAACAAGAATTCTCCCAAGTGGACCAATAAGCAACATCATGATAAACAGAGAAAAGATACATGTTGTCAAGGATTTCAGTTTAGGCAAAGATGTTTTCAATCGCCTCATATACATACAAAAGCTGGACAATGAATAAGGAAGACTCAAAAAAAACAATGACTCTGAATTACGTTGTTAGCAAAGAATTTGAATATACATGGTCTGCCAGAATGCTCCTTTGATGTGAGGATGGCAAGACTTTATCTCACGTACTATGGACATGTCATCAGGAGGGAACAGTCCCTGAACAGGGAACATCATACATGAAGTAAAGAGTCAGAAAAAACAGGATGACACTCAATGAGATGGACCGACACTATAACATATGTTCAAACACAGTAACAAATGTGAGGATTGCACAGAACTTCTCAGTGTTATGAGTAGGAAACAACACGAACACTCATAGGAACACTCAAATGGAATAAATTAATTTTAGCACATACCATTCAGCATTGGGATGAGAAGTTGAAACCATTTGTGGAAAATCAATCATGGTGATATGGTCATCTTTATCCAAAATGAGATTGAACTCATTGAAATCTCCATGAATCAGCCCATGATTTCCAAGTTTGACAATTAGTTCCATTGCTTCATTATATACTGATGCAGGATCTTCAACATGGTGTATTTGACATCTAAAAGTATTAAAGTTATGATAGCAGGTTATTTTTATATATTTATGATTTAAATCCATCACTTTTCTGTCAGTGTGTTGTATCGTGGTGGCTCTCGTTTGCTGTAATGCTGGAAGCTATGCCACTGGCTTCTCAAATGCCAGCAGGGTCATGCATGATGGGCAGGCCAGCAGGATTTCCAGACTGAGAGAGACTAAGAAGTAGGACCTGTCAATCTACTTCTGAACAAACTGGCCACTGAAAACCTTATGAATAGCAGTAGAACATCTGCTGTAGTGCTAGAAGATGGACCCCTTAGGTCAAAAGGCACTCAAAATACCACTGGGGAAGAGCTGCCTCCTCAAGTAGAGTTGACCTTAAAGATGAGGATGGAGTAAAGACATGCGGATCTTCATTTGCTGATGAGAAGAAACTGCTGCAAACACCCATTAATACTCAAAACATAGACTGTACTAAGTATGAATCTAAGAAAATCAGAAGTTGTAAACAATGAAACATAATAATGATGGATATAATAGCATTTGCTGAGAGGGTCTGGTACAGCCAGTTTGAATCAGATAATCATATGGTCCACTATGCTGGTAATGACAAACTGAAAAGGAATGTTGTTACACTCATCGTCAAAAGAAACAATTCAAGATCTACGCTGAAGTACAACTCTGTGAATGCTAGGATAACATCCAAATGTCAACAAAAAGACCAGAAATATGACTATTATTCACATTTATGTAACAAAACCAAAGAAACTGAAGGTTTCTGTCAACTTTTTCAGTTTGAAATTGATCAACTGAAATGTAATTATCAATAAAATTACTGGTGCTTAAAATGCAAAAAATTAGGAACAAAGAAAGATGATAGGCAGCAGGAACTCTGGCAGGACCATTGTTGGTAGATATAGTGATTCGGACTTCCGCTCTCCAGGACTATGAGACAATACAATTTTGTTCTTATAAACCATCCAGCTTGTGGTATTTAGTATTCTTAGAATACTAATACATATATGCTAAAACCCAAACTGTCAGAATTAAAATGAATTTTCAGTTTTCTCGAGTCACTCTTTAAACCAATGTTTACCCAAACAGAAGAAATACTACACTTAAAAATCCTTAAATTTATTAAGATCCACAGTTCCAAGAATAAATACTTACAAAGGATATCCATTTATAAGTTCCATAACCACTGCGTGGCGATTGTAATCAATTGGCTTTGGAACTGGAAATTTCCTTTCATACAATGCCTAAAACAGTGAAACAGGTATAAGCTAATACAGCAGTCACTATTTTTAAGAGTACAATCAAGTAAAAATACTTGCACAGCCTCAGAAGAAAAACACTCAAGTCTTTGAAGAATTACAATTAACACGGGACTAGTTATGTATGGCTTTGTCATTGCACAAAATAAGCTGGGTATAAGAACAAATTTTAAAATGAAGTTTAATTCCCTTTTTACCCTTCACTTACTAAACATTTATTATATATTGTGCATTGTACTATAGTTGTTAAGTGTCATCGAGTCGGTTCTGACTTACAGAAAAGCGGCTGTATAAGGTTTCCCAGGAGTGGCTGGTGAGCTTGAACAGCTGACCCTGCAACTAAAAATGACTTTGCAGTGCAGCGCATTAACCCACAGCGCCACACTAGGACTCCATACATTGCACTACAGTTACAAAAAAATTAGTGTGAAAAAGTCCCTGCCTTCAAGAAGCTTACAGTCCCTCAGGATATTTCCTCTTTCACTTGTGAGTTCCTGCCACATGCTGTGGAATATGCTCAAAAAATGCAAACCAAAACAAATTATATGTTAGGAAATACTCCGTCTTCTGACATATTAGGAAACAAAGTAATGTAACAAATCATGTATTTTAGTTTATAGAGCACTGACCTTTCTCTAGATAATAGCATGCAATATGTTTATATATTCATAAATATATAAATATAAACATGACAAACATGCACACTGTTGTCTGAGACAAAGGTTACTTCAAGTCCACGTTGTTGTTGTTGGGTGCCTACAAGTCGATTCTGACTCATAATCATCCATACTATGAACTGTCCTCTATGCTTAATTTCTTCTATTTCATTATTCACAGAAGTCTTGTTTTTATACTCCACAACACCTTACTTAAATTTATCCCATCATCTGGAATGCTATGGTCATTTATGCCTGATTACTACCACAGGAGGATCCCTGGTGGCACAATGGTTAAGTGTTTGTCTTCCAATTCAAAGATCAGAGATTCAAACTCATCAGCAATTCCAGCAGGAAAAAAACCTGGTAATCTGTTCCCATAAAGATTTAAGTCTAGGAAACCCTGTGGGGCAGTTCTACTTTGACCTATAGATTTGCCATCAGTAGGAATCAACTTGACAGCACACAGCAACACCACTGCAACAGGATTGGGTCTAGCTTTTACTACCATTCCTAACTTATTCTGTGACCTATAGAAGAAATTGTAGGTCAGAGGAACAGGTGCATATGGTTCTTATTTAGCCTTACTTTTGCTCAACAAAGGAGCCCTAATGGCACTGTCGAATAGAAACTGGACTACTTATCACAAGCTTGCCACTTCAAACCCATCAGCTATGCCATGGGAGAGAGATGAGTCTTTCTGTTCCCATCAGTATTTACAGCCTTCGAAACCTTACACAGGGTTGCACTGAGTTAGAATCAAGTCCATGGCAGTGGGTTTGCTTTTCTGGTTTTAGTTAAACAAAGGCTCAAAGCTTTGTCAATAATTTGAAAATGGATTTTAAGCTGAAACAGTGCTGCTCTTCTCAAAGATGGCAGCTGACCACACTACTTTAAATGTGTGTGGCTCTCTGTGGTTCTGCCAAAATCCAACCTCAAGAATCAGGCTCCTGATGGGCTTACTGCATGTCTTGCCATTTCAGGAATCCAACCTGTCATTTTTCCTATTCTGGTTATACTGACTAACCACCCAAACTGAAAAAATTCAGGTATGTTTCTATTTCTCTTCAATGTCCGTCACAGAACTGGTTTGAAATCCAGCTTAAAGGACAAGTTGGAGTTGTCCATAAATTGGGCATTTGTAGCCAGGGGACTGCTTGCACTATGTTTATTTTAAAAGGAGTCCTGGTGTGGTGCTGCAGGATAATGCACTGGACTACAAGAGTGGTTTGAACTGCAAGGTTGGTGGTTCAAACTCACTAGCCGCTCCTCAGAAACCCTTTACAGGATTGGTATGAGTCAAAACCAACTCAGCAGCACCTAACAACATTAGCCTTACCTGCTACCTACCTACTAGATTACTTCCATTCCCAATGATTCTTGTTTGCTTTGCTTTCAGTTTTTCCTTTCAAAGCAGATAGTTCTTAATACATCTGGGCAGTGCACAGCACACAATGCTAACAATTAGCAATTGTTAACCCTTTGTCTAGCTCTTGTTCTGTATCTTAGCCATGAAAACCAGTTGCCATCCAGTCAGATGGTGACCCTACGTGTACCAGAATACAACTGTGCTCCATAGTTTTTAATGGCTAACCTTCAGGAAGGAAAATGTCAAGCCTTCTTCTTTCTCAGGTACCTCCACGTGTACCTGAACCTCCAACCTTTCAGTTAGCAATCTAGTGAGTTAACTGTCTGCACCACCCAGGGACCCCAAGCTATATTTAAATCTTAATTTTTTCTCTCTTAGGAAAATATCAATGGAGCACAAAAATATAAGGCATACAACTAGGTTCCAGTTTTGTACCTTCATATATACACCCCATGAAAATACTTAATATGCTCTTAGAAATCACTATCAAGCTGCCTACAGACTGACTATCATATGAGCTATTATTACAAGACAAGAAACAGTAGCACTTATTTATACTGTATCCAGTATATTCCCCTCATGATTATGAAAAAATTTAACCACAAAAATTTAAAAAATCTACTCAAGAAACATCAAACTGAAACTCAAAAAAACAACTGCTCAAAAAGTGAAATAATTTTCCATTATTAAAAAAAAAGTAAGATAAGTTATGATAAATCTCATTTGATAGAATAATAAATACACAATGTTATTTTCTTTAGATTTCTACTATTTTAATACATATGGTGGTTTCAACAAGGTCATGGCAAAATTCTGTTTCCTTTTAATTCCATTTCCCCCACGAACTTTTCCAAGCCCAATCATATTAATTTTTTTATAATCACATTTATCCCATTATGTCAAAGAAAAATACCAGTCAATTATCTGAGACACTAAGGTTTCCTTGCACAATAACAATCTTATTTCTTCAATAAAAAGATAGACATATGTCTGAAAAAGCCAAGTGGATACATATTTACAAGGTACTTAAATTATCAGTTATGCTAAGCTAGTTATTGCATTAATTTTGTATAATACATGTTAATTTTATGCATTTGTAATAATTAAAAATACCTTCACATAGAAGGAAATCACCAGGAAAATAAACAACAGAAATAACGGAGCATTAAAAGTGCCTATCTCTAGAGAGATTGGGACTGGGAGTAGGGAGATTTCTGGGGCAACTAATGCTTGTCATTAAGGCCTTGGAGCTACATTTACTATTTAATTGTAAAATGCACAATTATTTTTTAAAATACCTTCATATAAGCAAATTCCTTCATGGCAGAGAGACGAGATAAATACAGCCAAGACATATTGTGTCTGTGTTTATGGTAATCACGCTTGTTTTTCAGATTTCGAAAGGAGGTTCTTCCTAGTCTGTGAAGCTTTAATGCAAACTGATGTCCCTCTTCATTTGCAACAATGTAAATATCTAGAGCCAAGATTTTAAAAGTTATTATTATACTTTTATTCTATTAAAATGAAACAATTCTAACTTCCTAGTTTAGATTTTATTTGTATAAAATGTTATATGCTAATACAACTAGGAATACTTTCCATTTAGCAGAAATCTTTATAACCAATGTACTCACCATTTTACTTTAATTAAAACCTCAAAGAGAAGTTGACATGTACAAAGGGGCTTCAAAAAAATTCATGAAAAAATTCCACTATGTTTAAATTTCATTTTTTAAATAAATTTTGAAGCAAACATTTGTATCAATCTCTCTACCAATGTAATTACAATGTATATACATATTATGGCGTTCTGGTGTGGCGCTGTGGGTTTAATGCGCCAGACTGCAAAGTCGTTTGAACTGCAAGGTTGGCGGTTCAAGCTCACCAGCTGCTCCTCGGAAACCCAATATAGGGTCTCTATGGGTTGGAATCCACTTGACCGATGGCACTTAACAACAATAATATATATTACACAAAAGGAAAGGAGAAGGGATCTGAAAAGCCTCATTACAATAAACCAACAGAACACACAAGCGAGCAGTACTAAGTGCAAAGAAGGCTTAAAACACACACACAAAAAAAACTCCCCAGCAAAATGGGACAAGTAAATTAATTCTAAACAGTAATTATAGTGAATGTAAATGGACTAAAGGCTCCAATCAAAAGGCAGAGAGTGGCAGAATGGATTAAAAAAAATGATATAACAATATGCTGTTTACAAAAGATATATCTTAAACTCAAGGACACAAATAGGTTGACAATAACAGGATGAAAAACCTACTCCATGCAAATAGTAACCAAAAGAAATTAAGGCGGCAATCTTAACATCAGACAAAGTAGATTGTAAGACAAAATCTGATAGAAGAGACAAAAAAATGGGCATTATATAGTAACAACATTAATCAAGAAAATATAAGTCATAAATATATGACTTAGAGCAACCCTGTATGGGGTTTCTGACTCAGAGTAATCCTGTGTACAGTTTCTGATGACTGAATGGTTTGAACCACCAACTTTGTGGCTAGTAGTCCAGTGCTTATTATACAGTGCCATACCAGGAATACATAAATATATATGCTTTCAAAATCTGGGCACCTAAATATATTAGTAGTCCTGATATGGCACTGTAGGATAAGCACTGAACTGCCAACCACAGGGTCAGCAGTTCAAACCCACCAGTCGCTCCTTGGAAACCCTATACAGGATCACTAGGAAAACTGA